CCACCCCCGAGACCACACCATCCACCCCCGAGACCACACCATCCACCTCCGAGATGACATCAATGACAACTATGCTACCCACAGGTCAGGAAATTCATCTATAACTTGCGGTCATTATTTTGTGATGAGTGATTTATGACGGTAATCTCTTTTGTGTCATTTAAGGTCAGTCATTTGAAAGGTCAATAATATTTACAACTCTTTTTGTGAACTTTACAAAACTTTAGAGATAACAACAGAGGTCCGTCAACCAGGTAGATCTCTTTTGTCTCACACATAAAGAGCATGTGACCAAACACCAGACCCATTCCTGTCCTTTCAAAGACTTCTGTGAAATGTCTACTAATCTATTCACATCAGTAACTCATCATATTTCGAGGGTGTAATTGAAATCTATGGGAGTAAGTGATGGAGAAATGTTAAAGCAGCTGCAACGTTTGGTGCCCAGTTCATGAGTAATTGAAGAATCAGGACAACTGGAGAGAGAGTAGGGCCCCTTAAAGATCAAAGAGGTCATCTTTGTGTTGAACCTCAGGAGATGGGAAAGATATTAAATGAATATTGTGCGTCAGTTTTTACTGTGGTGAAAGAAGTGGGCGCTAGGGAATTCCAGGAAATAAATATTGATGTTTCGAAAACAGCGCACGTTACACAAGTGTTAGAGGTCATAGAAAATATAAAGGTGGCTAAATCTCCAGGACCTGATCTAGTCTATCGTCAGACTTTGTGGGAAGTTTGGGAAGAAATTGTGGGGCCCTTAGCAGAGATATTTGTATCATCTATAGCCACGGGTGATGTGCTGGAGGACTGGAGAATGACTAATGTTGTGCCTTTCTTTAAGAAGGCATGTAAAGAGAAGCCTGGGAGCTATCGACATGTGAGGCTGACTTTGGTGGTGGGAAGTTCATGGAGGTGATTCTGAAGGATTTGAATGCATTTGGAGAGGCAAGGAATGATTAAGGATAGTCAGCATGGTTTGTGTGAGGGAAGTCGTGTCTCACAAACTTTACTGAGTTTTTTGAGGAACTAACCAACAAGATTGACAAGGGCAGAGCGACCGACGTTGTTTACTTGGATTTTAGTAAAGCCGTTGACAAGGTCCCGCATGGTAGACTAGTTAGTAAAGACGCGACAGAGGGTGGGTGGTGGAGGGTTGTTTATCGGACAGGAGGCCTATTATGACCACCGATGTTCCACGGGGATCGGTGCTGGGTCCACTTTTGTTTGTCATTTATATAAGTGATGTAGATGGCAATACAAAAAGCACGGTTAGTAAGTTTGCGGATAACACCAAGATTAGTGGTATAGTGGACAGTGAAGAAGGTTATCTGGGAATGCGGCGTGATCTTGATCAACTGGGCCAGGGGGGCTGAGGAATGGCAGATGAAGTTTACGTTATTGTGGGTCAAACCAGGGCAGGACTTACACAGTCAATGGTAGGGCCCTGAGGAGAGTTATGGAACAAAGAGATCTAGGGCTACATGTTCATAGTTCCTTGGAAGTGGAGTCACAGGTAGACAGGGTGGTGAAGAAGGATTTCAGCATACTTGCCTTCATCGGTCAGAGCGTTGAGTACAGGAGTTGGGATGTCTTGTTGCAGCAGTACAAGATGTTGGTGAGGCCACATTCGGAGTACTGTATGCAGTTCTGGTCACCCTACTACAGAAAGAATATTATTAAACTAGCCAGAGTGCACAAAAGATTTACTAAGATGCTTCCTGGACTGAAGGTTTGAGTTATAAGGAGAGGCTGGATAGGCTGGGACTGTATTCCCTGGAGTGTAGGAGACAGGGGGCTGACCTTATAGAGGTCTATAAAATCATGAGAGGCATAGATAAGGTAGATAGCCCCATGGTAGAGGAATCTGAAACTAGAGGGGATAGGTTTAAGGTGAGCGATACAAAAGGGTCCAGAGGGGGAGTTTTTTCACACAGAGAGTGGTGAGTGTCTGGAATCAGCTGCCAGAGGCAGTCAGCCACTTGGACACAGTAAGGACTGCAGATGCTGGAAGTAAGAGTCAATAACAGTGGAGCTGAAAAAGCACAGCAGGTCAGACAGCATCCGAGGAGCAGGAGAGTCAACGTTTTGGGCCAGAGCCCTTTGTCAGGACTCTGGGTTGACTTTCCTACTCCTTGGATGCTGTCTGACCTGCTGTGCTTTTCCACTCGACATTTGCAGTCTGCCAGAGGTAGCGGTGGTAGCGAGTACAATTTTGTCATTTAAGAAACATTTAGACAGGTGCGGTGGGATGTGGGCCAAACCCAGGCAAATGGGACTAAGTTTAATTGTGAAAACTGGCCAGCGTGGACAAGATGGGCCTGTTTCCACACTGTAGACCTCTATGACCCTAACTGAGAAATTAATTTTTTTTTAACCCGTTTCCTCTGTCAGATGGCACTTGCATTGTGTCTGGAGATCCTCACTACATAACCTTTGACAACAGGAAGTTCACATTCCTGGGGACCTGTACATATACCCTTGCCAGAAACTGCCACAATAAGACAGGTATGTATAGAAGAAAGATAAAGAGCCTGAAAGTAGAAAGACACACAGCATCTCTTGGAGGAAAAGCCAAGTTCTGCTGAAGAAGCTACACCTAAGACATGAACCTGTTATTTCTTCTCATAGCTGTTGAGCCCATGAATGGCTCCAGTATTCACCGTGGTAATCCTCTCTTCTCTGAGGGAGTAGGTCAACAGTTTGAGTCCTGCTCCCTACACTGTAAGTCCAAATCGATACTCTCTGCGGTAGCACTGAGGCAGTGCTGCATTGTCAGAATTTCAATGAAATGTTAATCCTTTCAGGAGGGTGTAAGAAAGGTCTCGGGGTGGGGGGATCTGTTTTGAACAAGAGTAGTGGAAGTTGTCCCTGACCTGCTGAGCCAATATTCACCCTCCTTGTTCAACAGTCAAAACAGCGGATCTAAATCGTTATCACATTGCTGCATGTGGGATCTTGCTGTGCACCGATTGCCTGCTGTGTTTCCCACGTTACCATAGTAACCACTACTCCATTGGCTGTGTGTGGTGGGGGGGGATGCTTTGGATGCTCTGGCATCCAAAGACACTAAGCAAACATTGCTCTGTTATTTTTAAATATAAACTCAGTATGTGCTGGAGAAACGCAGCAGGTTTGGCAGCAGCTGTGAAGAGAGAGATAGAGAGAGACAGACAGACAGACTGGATGTTTCCAGTCCATATGACTTTTTTTGGAACTCCAACCTGTTGCTGGCCACATGTGTGTGAGATGTACACCTTGCACATGTGTCTGTGTGGGTTTTCCATTCTGCTTGTTAATGTGCATATTTCAGTATTTCTGTGAATGCTTGATCACTCTGTGTGTGTGGTTCTGTCTGTGTGCCTGTTTCTGTCTGTGTAGTGTTGCGTTTACCTCCTTGTGTGTGCATGTGTTTTCCAGGTTGTGCATGACTGTGTAGATGTATGTATCTCACTGTCAGTATATGTCTGTTTATGTCTTTCTTTCTACATATTTGTCCATTTGTGCCTGTCTGTGTACTTCTATGTACACGTGTCTGTCTGTATGTGTGTGTCTCAGTGTGCTTGAGTTTCTGGTTAGCTGTATGTTGTGTCTATGTCAGTGTACATGTTTGTGTGTCTATGTGTCTGCCTGCCTGTGTGTGTGTGAGAGAGAGTGTGTTTGTGTGTGTGTGTGTGTGTGTGTTTGTGTGTGAGAGAGAGTGTTTGTGTGTGTGAATGTGTGTGTGAGTATGATTGTATATGTGTGTGACTGTGAGTATGCGTGAGCATGTTTGTGTGTGTGTGAGTCTGTTTGTGTGTGTGTAAGTGAGTGAGTGCGAGTGTGTGTATGTGTGTGAGCATGTGTGTGTGTGTGAGCATGTGTATGTGAGCACGTGTGTGTGTAAGTGTGTGTGTATGTGTGAGCATGTGTGTGTGTTGCGTGTGTGTGTGTTGCATGTGTGTATGAGTGTGTGTGTGTGTGTGTGAGCATGAAAGTGTGTGTGAGTGTATGTGTGAGAGCGTGTGAGTTTGTTGTGTGTGTGTGTGTGTTTATGTGTGTGTGCGTGTATGAGAATGTGGGAGTGTGAGTATGTGTGTGTTTTTGTGAGCGTGAAAGTGTGCATGAGTGTATGTGTGTGAGCGTGTGTGAGTTTGTTGCGTGTGTGTCTGTGTGTGTATGTGTCTGTGTATGAGAGTGTGTGTGAATGTGAGTATGTATGTGTGTGAGTGTGAGTATGTGCGTGTGTGAGTGTTAGGGAGTCTCTCTGTACTTACTCCACACTCACTCCACCTTTCTCATTAATGTTATTGAATGATTTCCAGGACCCTGGTTCAGCATTGAAGGGAAGAATGAGGAGAGGGGATTACCTGGAGCCACATACCTGAGAAAACTTTACATCACCATTGATGGCATCACCATTACTCTGATGAAAAACAGGCGAATCATGGTCAGTCTCCCTAGTTTTGCCAATCACTCTGAGTTCACTGAGTTCAGTCAGTCAGAATGATTCTTTTTTGCCTTTATTCATTCACAGATGGCATCGCTGGCTAGGCCAGCATTTATTGTCCATCCCTAATTGCCCAGAGGGCAGTTAAGAGTCAACCTCACATTGCTGTGGGTCTGGAGTCATGGCAGGCCAGACCAGGCAGATTTCCTTCCCTAAAGGGCATTAGTGAGCCAGATGGGTTTTTTTCCTGACAATGGTCACCGTTAAAGTCTTAATTTTTTTTAAATAGAATTCAAATTTCTGCATTCAAATAGCAGGATTCGAATCCAGGTCCCCAGAACATTATCTGGGTCTCTGGATTAACTAAATGTGGGTACAGTTACAACGTTTAAAAGATATTTGGATAAGCTCATGAATAGGAAAGGTTTGGAGGGATATGGGTCAGGAGCAGGCAGGTGGGACTACTTTAGTTTAGCTAGATTAGTCCAGCATTAATACCACTAGGCCAGCGCCTCCCCAACTGAAATTATTAGATTGTAGTCAAAATCAATGGCTTCCTCAATGTCTTTCAGGGAGGGAACTCTGCTGTACTTACCCATTCTAAATATCACACAGCACAACAACATGGTTGACTTTCAACTGCCCTCTGAAACTTCATGTCACAGAAACTGGGCATGGACTAGCCTTGACAGTGATGCCCATATCATGAAAATTGATATGAAAGACAAGTTTTGTACCAGGATACCAGAGATACCGGTACCATAAGCAGTTGAATAGTGATGGTCCCGAGACTGAAATGTTTGATTTGATTAAGTTTTGTTTTGCTCGCAGTACAGGCAGACCATACCATACAAAGTGCATTAGGGTAATAGAACAGAGTGAAGAATACAATGTTATGGTAGCAGAGAAGGTGCACAAAAAGCAAAGTCAACAGAGAAAGATTTAAAAAGGACATGAGGGGTATTTTTTTTTTACAGAGAGCGTGGTTCATGTGTGGGATGAACTTCCTGAGGAAGTAGTGGATGCGGGTACAGTTACAATGTTTAAAAGACATTTGGATAAATCCATGAATAGGAAAAGTTTGGAGGGATATGGGTCAGGAGCAGGTAGGTGGGACTAGTTTAGTTTCGGATTATGGTCAGCATGGACTGATTGGACTGAAGGGTCTGTTTCCATGTGGTGTGACTCTATGACTCTATTCAATTAAAAGTAGGAGAGGTCCATTCAAGAAGTCCAATTAAAGCAGGGAAGAAGCTGTTCTTGAACCTGTTGGTACATGTGTTTAAGCTTTTGTATCTTCTGCCTGACGGAAGAGATTATAACCGGGGTGGGAGGGTCTTTGATCATATTAGCTGCCTTCCCAAGGCAGCAAGAAATGTAGATGGATCAATGGCTGGAAGGTTGGTTTGCATGATGGACTGGGCTGTGTTCACACTTCTCTGTAGTTTCTTATGGTCCTGGGCAGAGCAGTTGCCATACCAAGCTGCTACGCATCTGGATAGAACACTTTCTCTGGTAGCTCAGGTACTTTCAATGTCTAGCTCAGGGCTCGTGTCCTCATTTTGTCAATCAACAGCAATTTTATTTCCCAATAGTCAAAGGAGATGATGGATAAGCGAAAGCACATTCTCTCCTGCTCTTCCTATCATTGATGAACTGATTGCAGCCTCAGTTCCATCTTCCTGTCAGCCTCTCATAAATCTGTGATTCCCTTATTGAACAAAACAAATGTGTTTAACTTGACCTTGGCTGTATATATATATATATATATATATATATATAAAATCCAGTCTGCTCTACCCTGTGGGGCAGAGAATTCCAAAGATTTCTCTCCCTCATTACCCACTTCTCTTTTACTGCCCATACTCACTTCCTGTAATGAGTGTAACAAACGGTATGGATTTTCTGATATCAGACCTCCGCTGAAATGTCTCCCCCTGGGAGATGGATGGCGAGGGAAGCAAGTAGGGATACTTAGTCCCTAGTCTGGGGAGGGAAAAAACTGATCAAATCTCCTCCTGACAATTTGGTTTTAGTTGGATTTCACAGCAGGTAATGCAATGACAACCATAGAATCCCTAAAGTGTAGAAGCAGGCCCTTCAGCCCATCAAGTCCACACTACCCCTCCAGGGAGCATCCCATCCAGACCTGTAACCCCACATTTCCCATGGCTAACCCACCTAGCTTGCACATCCCTGGATACTATGGGATAATTTAGCATGGCCAATCCACATAACCTGCACATCTTTGGACTGTGGGAAGAGACCCAGAGGAAACCCACACAGACACGGGGAGAACATACAAACTCTACACAGACAGTCGCCCGAGGCTGGAATCGAAGTCGGGCTTTTGGCACTATAGGGCTAACCACTGAGCCACCATGCCACTGACAAACATCCTGATGTTGGTACAACTTATGTCATGCAGAAAAGCCAGTTCAGAAAGAAGCAGGCTGTGGAGTGGGGTAACCCATACCTGCTACAAAGTCAGCACAAGAGACCAAAAGGGAAAACAAGGGTGAAAAACTGGCCTGTTTATTTTTAAACTGCTATTAGATTACTCACCACCAACCAAGAGTCCAGAGTCAGCACTGTCCATGGGGAATTAATTCCAACTTTTCCATTAATTGAAATTAATGCTGATAAAGTGTGATTTGAATCTAGAGCATTAGCCTGGGCTGTCAATGCACTTTGTAACCCTCTTTACCTCATCTAGAGCTATAAGGTCAAAACTGCCATTGCTTGACTGGGGAGGCAATGGACTAGTGGTATTCATAGAATCCCTACACTGTAGAAAGAGGCCATTTGGCCCAACAAAGCCACACCAACTCTCCAAAGAGCATAACAGCCAGACTCACCCCCTACCCTATTCCTAGGACCTTGCATTTTGTGCAAACTCCACACAGTCACCAGAGGGTGGAATGGAACCCAGGTCCCTGATGCTACGAGGCAGTAGTGCTAACCACTGAGCCACTATGCTGCCCCACTATTACAGGACTGTTAATCCAAAGACCCAAGTAATGTTCTGGTGTCCCGGCTTCGAATCCTGCCACAGCACATGGCGGAATTTGAATCCAATAAATATCTGGAATTAAGAATCTAATGATGACCATGAATCCATTGTCGATTGTCAGGGAAAAACCCATCTGGTTCACTAATGTCCCTTAGGGAAGGAAACTGCCATCCTTACCAGGTCTGGTCTACATGTGACTACAGACCCACAGCAATATGGCCGATTCTTAATTGGCCTCTGGGAAATCAGGGGTGGGCAATAAATCCTGGCCTGGCCAGTGATGCCCTCATCCCATGACTGAATAAAAAATTTGTAGCCACAACACAGAGCTACAGGGTAGAAAGTTGCCATTTTGGTACAATTCTAAATGGAATCCATAGCTGTAAGATACAAACCAGTCACAGAAACACTCTCCCACTTCGGGACAAAAGTGAGATAGAACAGATATTGACCAAGGTGAGACTAAAAGAGTCCTGATGAAGAGTCCAGGCCTGAAACATCGACTTTCCTGCTCCTCTAATGCTGCCTGACCTGCTGTGTTCCTCCAGCTCCACACTGTATTGACAGATATCAACCAATAAATCACAACACCTTAAGCAATCCGTTCTCACAATGACAGTGCAGTTGTATTTTACACAACTCTCGTCAACACAGCGCACCCATTAGTCTGGGAGGTTTGTCTACGAGACAATTGTGTAACAGTTTCAGCACTAGTTGTCTGGCAGTTACATAGACCAATGACTGTCTGATAGAATCAAACAGCATTTTGATCTGGCAGCTCAAATCACGCAATTACAGACACTTGCAAAACCCAAAACAAAATGTCCATCCTTAGGCATGATTATATGATTGGATAACACTTGCCTAACAACCCCAAGTGCACTAATAACCACACAAGCAAGCAATTTAAGATAATCATAGGAGCAAGAGTAGGCCATTCAGCCCATCAAGCTTTCTCCACCATTCAATATGATTATTGAAATAACTCCACAGAGGCCAGTACCCCATCACTAAGTCACCCTTTATTTACATGTGGAGAGTCCTTGACACTGATCCCAGCTTCCTCATAACGAACAGAACCTCTGACACTCCTGTTCTTATCTGTCAGCCAGGGCTCCCTGATTGGAACAGGCTAACAGCTCCAATCAGGGAACTCAGCATCTATGACTGACCTCATTACAATCACTACAGTAATGGCTCATCCTCTATCTAAATCCCAGTTTTTTTCCCAATATTCCTTGATGCCTTTAATCTATTTATCGATCTCTTTCTTTCTCAGCAACTTGGCCTCCACAACCTTCCTTGGTAGAGAATTCCAAATCTTTGAGTGAAGAAATTTTCTGTTGTAATAACATAAGAAATAGAAGCAGAAGTAGGCCATCTGGCCCCTCGAGCCTGCTCCACCATTTAATAAGATACGTGGACTCAGCTCTACTTACCCGCCCGCTCACCATAACCCTTAATTCCTTTACTGTTCAGAAATCTATCTTTGCCTTAAAGACATTCAACAAGGTAGCCTCAGCTGTTTCACTGGGCAGGGAATTCCACAGATTCACAACCCTTTGAGTGAAGAAGTTCCTCCTCAACTCAGTCCTAAATCTGCCTCCCCCTTATTTTGAGGCTGTGCCCCCTAGTTCTAGTTTCACTCGCCAGTGGAAACAGCCTCCCTGCTTCCAACTAATCTATTCCCTTCATAACTGTATATGTTCCCATAAGAACCACGCCCCCCCCCCCCACCCATCCCAGTCTACTCAATCTCTCCTCACAAGCCAACCCTCTCAACTCCGACATCAACCTGGTGAACCTCCTCTGCAACCCCTCCAGTGCCAGTCCATCATTTCTCAAGTAAGGAGACAAAAGGTGGCATGGTGGCTCAGTGGTTAGCACTGCTGCCTCACAGCGCCAGGGACCCAGGTTCGATTCCATCCTTGGGCAACTGTGTGGAGTTTGCACGTTCTCCCCATGTCTGCGTGGGTTTCCTCCGGGTGCTCTGGTTTCCTCCCACGGTCCAAAGGTGTGCAGGCTATGTAGATTGGCTGTGCTAAATTGCCCGTAGTGTCAAGAGGTGTATAAGTTAGACATGGGAAATGCAGGGTTATAGGGAAAGGGAAGGGGGATTGGACTGGGTGGGATGCCCTTCAGAAGGACAGTGTGGACTTGTTGGGATGAGTGGCCTGTTTCCACACTGTAGGGATTCTATGAAAACTGTACACAGTACTCCAGGTGTGGCCTCACCAGCACCCTGTACAGCTGCAGCATAACCTCCCTGCTTTTAAACTCCATCCCTCTAGCAATAAAGGAGAACGTGGTCTACTCTATATCTTCAGACCGTGCTTGTTGGTTCTAGACTCCCCAACCAGGGGAAAACCCTCCTTGCATCTAGTCTGTCCAGTCATGTTGGAATTTTATACATTTCAATCAGAGTCCGTCCCATCTTTCTAAACTCTAGAGAATACAAAGTCTGGTTGAGTTTGTATCTGAGCTCATTCATGCTTCTGAGATGCAACATACATTCACACACAGGGAGCAGTTCCCTGCAGACAAAGGGAATATATCCAAGCCTTGTGCCTATTGTGAATTACCCAGACACTTTCACCATGGCAACACTTCTGCCAGTCAGAAGTGGTTTTGCCAACCAATCAGCACCATTTTAGCCCTGCACTATAAAACTTGGCATTCTTGCGTTTGTCCTGATGAGTGCATGATGATTGATATTCAGCGACGATCAGAATCTGTCTGACCAAGGGACTGTTGATGAAGTTGGTCTGATTTGGTGGCACCGTGTCAAGACCATCTTATACAAGGCTTTTCAGTGTTGGAAAACATTCAGAACTACGTCTGAGAAAAGCAAAATATTGATCCTTGTTATTGCAGGTGGGCCAAACAAGAGTGAGACTGCCTAAAGAGGTGGGCAGGGTCCAGCTCTCTCAATCCGGCCAATATGTCATGCTCCAGACAGACTTTGGCTTGAAGCTACAATACGACGGAAACCATTTTGTGAAGATAACTGTACCCAGGTGAGTCCCATAGCTTTTGAGCTTGAGCGTGCTGTCAAACCTTTCACTTCACCCCTTCACCTCCAAGAAATGTTCACCATCTCCGAGATGAGGAGTGTGGAAGAACACTCTTCGCTTGCCTCGTGATTCGAGACGCTTAATGACATCCAGGATAAGGCAACACATTTTGATGGGCTTCAACCTTCACTCCCTTCGACATCGGCAGCATTGTGTATGATTTACAAGGTGCACTGCGAGGCTCCTTCGGCAGCACCTTTCAAACCTGCGGCCTACACCGTCCTAAAGGACGAGGCCAGTAGACGCATGGGGACACCACCATCTGCAAATTTCCTTCCAAACCACACACCGTCCCAACTTGGAAATATATCGGCCGCTGCTTCACTGTTGCTGGGTCAAACTCCCCTCCCTGATGGCACCATGCGGGCATCCCTACACCACACAGGCTGCAGCAGTACAGCTCACCACCACCTTCTCAAGGGGCAATTATGGATGGGCAACAAATGCCATCCCAGCCACACATCCGATAAGATTTTTCTTTCATAAATCTGTTGTGTGTGCAACATACGCCACGATGCTGAGCTACCTTCAGCCTGAATGTCATTCACACTAGAGGTCTCTCAATCTCCCCAGACCTCAGCCCATTCATTAAAGGTCTCTTTCTCTCTTAGCTCCTACAACAATCAGATGTGCGGACTCTGTGGTGACTTTAATGGTGACTACATTGATGATTACCAGAAGCCGGATGGGGCCTTGGCAGTAAATGACACCGTATTTGGAGATAGCTGGAAGACAAAAGACGATGAGGACGAGAAGTAAGTGCTGCTTAAAGCTGAGTTACATCAATCTCTTCATCTCCTGTGCTTAGATTGGGGCACGAGAATATCTCCACGGTCCGAAGAGTGAAGACTGTGAGACAGTCCAAAGATGCGCAGGTCAGGGTGGATTGGCCATGCTAAATTGCCCCATAGTGTCCAGGGATGTGTAGATCAGGTGGGTTATAGGGGGATGGGTCTGGGTGGGATGCTCCAAGGGTCAGTGTGGACTTGTTGGGCTGAAGGGCCTGTTTCCACACTGTAGGGATTCTATGTATAACAAGCCGGTTAGCACAGGCTTGATTGAAGAGGTAGGTTTTTGAGCAACAAAGCAAAGCATGAGAGTGGCCTAGAGAGGAGCAAAAAGTCGGACATTGAAATGAACGTGGTGGAATGCCATTTTGACGTATACAAGAGGAGTCGGGCCAGAATATGTCTTTCACGCATTTCCCTCTGGGAAAGGTTCAGAGAGGGAACTCCAGACCCCTTGGGACCTGGGCAGCTCATGAAGGCATGGCCGCCAATAGTGGAGGGTTGGAAATTGGGAACTTGTAAACCAGCCTTGCATTCCTCCTCAACACCTTTGTCAATACTGTTTGCAGGAGAAGGAAATGGTTTCAAGATGACGCGGGAGGCACGCTTCTGTCATCCAAATGGCTCAAGGTGCAATCCTGAGCCAATCTAAGACCCTGCCACTGAGTCCATGCTGATTGCACATCCACTGACGCATATCTCCCAACATCAAGCCATGGCCAATTTTTTTTTAAGGTTTCTTTCTGGCAGGAAAGCAAAGACCCATTGAGTCATGTTTCTGTGTTCCAGGTGTAGGACTATTGACCCAATGCCATGCGAGAAAGAGGTCTTCGACAAAGTGATCAGCAGTGACCAATGCGGTCTGATCATCGATGCAACGGGACCGTTCAGGTAGGAGAACTGGATCGCGACAGCAGAATACTGCGGGTGCTGGACATCGGAAATACAGGCAGAAAGTGCTGAGGAAGTAAGGGGGAGAAACAAAGTTAACAAGCTAGGTTGATGAATTATCTTCAGAACTGGGTCAAGGGAAGGTGAGAAGGAGAGAGCCAAGGGTAAATCCTGATAGGCTGGAAGACGGGACAGCTCACACGAATCTGTCATTGCAGTTTGGGCCTAAGGCGTAAGCGATGTGAGTAAAGGAACAAAAGGTGTTACTTGAGCCGGTCTGGATGTCCAGAAGCAAAATAAAAGCAAATAACACAAGGAGGAGGCTCCCCAAATATTCCCATCCTCCATACTGGGGGAGCCTAGCGCCATCAGTGCAAAAGATAAAACTGAAGTGTTTGCAACCATCTTCAGCCGGAAGTGCTAAATCAAAATGGGAGTAGAGATTACGGTCTGAAGTTTGTGTTTGTTCATTCTTTTACACAATGTGGACATTGTTAGCATTTATTGTCCATCCCTTGAGAAGATGGTGGCAAGCTGCCATCTTGAACCTTTCCAAAGAGTTTCTGGGGCCTGGGACGGTGAGGAGAGAAAGGGTGAAAAGTCAAGAGTGAATTCTCCTGCACATGCGTGCATGTTCAGGATTGGAACAGGATATCTTTGATCTGTCCCCAATATTTATTGGAACCAAACATCACGTTGTATTTGGTCACTTGCCAAGGATCAAAGCTCCAAGCAGTTTCAAGGCTAGTGTGCCATGGGTAAAGAAAATGACCTTCAACCTTAATGTCGGTTGAAATAGTGATGTAGTGATAATGACACTGGACTAATAGTCCAGAGATCTCAGCTAATGGTTCAGGAGCAAGGTTCGATTCTGACCATAGCAGCTGGTGGAATTAAAATTCAATTAATTAACCCATCTAAAATTGAAAGCAAGTGACTATAAACCTATCATTGATTGCTGTTTAAAACAAAAACTCACCTGATTCACTCTCCCCCTTTGGGGAAACAAAAGGAGAAATAGCTGGGAAAGCTCAGCAGCTCTGGCAGCATCTGTACAGAGAAAGCAGAGTTAACGTTTCGGGTCCAGTGACCCTTCTTTAGAACTGTGCCAGTGGGAATCAGTTTTGGCAAATACCTTGTGTCCTTACCTGGTATGGCCAAGATGTGACCAAATAACACCCTAACATTTTTTTTCCACCTTCCTGGATGAACTTCCAGGTACAGCGCACAGAATCCCTACTGTGTGGAAGCAGGTCATTCAGCCCATTGAGTCCACACCAACCCTCTGAAAAGCATCCCACCCAGACCCACCACCCACTACCCTATCTCTGTGACCCTGCATTTCCCATGGCTCATCCACCTAGCCTTGTACATCCCTGGACACTATGGGGCAATTTAGCACAGCCAGTCCCCGCTAACCTACACATCTTTGGAGGAAACCGGAGCACCCAGAGGAAACCCACGCGGACACGGGGAGAATATGCAAACTGTACACAGACAGTCACCCGAGGCTGGAATGGAACACACGTCCCTGGTGCTGTGAGGCAGCAGTGCTAACCACTATGCCACCTGTAGTATAGCTTAGAGGGAATGTTACATGTAATAAACGCCATGACATTGTTCTTGAGTCTTGACTTCCCTCTAACTGGTCCAAGGGCATTGATAGATGGGTGACAAACATTGGTCTTGCCACTGACACCTATATCTCATAACTGAATGAAAAACGCATCAAGATAACACATCAGCATGACATTTCTGACAATGCTGGAATTGCAATCAGAAGTTTAAGTTTGGTTTAGCCTTGTACCCATTAATCAACATGGAATCTTCTCATTAATTCCAGGTCTTTCCTTGATAGTCTCCTTGAATCAATCTCTTTCGTAAATAGAACCCTAGATATTTGGCGTGCTCCTCTACCGCTGAATATCAACCAAAAGTTTTGTGACCTAAAGCCCGCGTTTAAGACTGGCTGTTGTTTTAATTAACAGGAACTGTGTTAAGATTGTGGACCCAATGCCCTACTTCAACAACTGCGTTTACGATATGTGCCAGTTCCAGGGTTTCCAGCCTCCTCTGTGTGACCAGCTCCAGGCCTACACCGACGCCTGTCTATCTGCTGGGGCCACTGTGCATAACTGGAGGACTCCAGACTTCTGCAGTAAGTCAGCGCCCTTTTTATTTGGCCACGTGGACAGGGGTCTGTTTCCTGTGTGCTTTACCACTTACACACTGACATCCGCGGCTCTCTCTTCCCAATTGGCGTGGAGGGGCCATGGATAGGGTGAATAGCCAAGGTCTTTTTCCACAGGGTAGAGGAGTCCAAAACCAGAGGGAATATGTTTAAGGTGAGAGGGGAAAGATTTAAAAGGGACCTGAGGGACAACATTTTCACGCAGAGGGTGGTGCAGTGTATGGAATGAGCTGCCAGAGGAAGTGGTAGAGGCTGGTATAATTATAACATCTAGAAGGCATCTGGATGGGTACATGAGTAGGAGGGGTTTAGAGGGATATGGGCCAAATGCTGGCAAATGGGACTAGATTAATTTAGGATATCTGATCAGCATGGATGAGTTGGACTGAAGGGTCTGTTTCTGTGCTGTACAACTCTATGACTCTATGACTATTATAAGGAGAGGCTGGCACTTGTTCCACTGGAGCGTAGGAGGTTGAGAGGGTGACCCTGTAGAGGTTTATAAAATCATGAGGGATATAGATAAGGTGAATAGCCAAGGGTCCTTTCCCGAGGGTGGGGGAATTCAAAACTAGGGGGCATATTTTTAAGGTGAGAGGAGAAAGATTTGAAAGACACCTGAGGTGCAACCTTTTCACACATTGGATGGTGCATGTATCGAATGAACTGCCAGGTAGGTGCAGGTACAGTCACAATATTTAAAAGACTTTTGGATGGATGCAAGGATAGGAAAGGTTCAGAGGGAAATACGCAGGCAGGTGGGACTAGTGTAGTTTGGGAAACTTGGTCGGCATGGACCAGTTGGACCGAAGGATCTGTTTCCGTGCTGTATGTGACTGTTATGTTCTCATTTCAAGCCCCTGTCCCTGGTCCAACCATATGACTCTTTGCACCTGCAAACATTCGGAAAAACACATCTGCAGTTTTGAAGATCGTAAAAAGTGACTAACCACAGCCCCCCAATAATGGAATAAAACAAACTTTAGGCCCATGTTACTCTAACAGGTTCAGTATCACAGGATCTCTCCTGCAAGTGAACCCCAAAATCTAGACCATACCATTTCTATTTTGCGATCTCAGGAGAAGATGGTAGAACCTTTGTTCGGTGAGCTGGGCAGTGTGAGATCTTGCTTGCCATCACCAATGTGTCTCTTATTGTTTGGAGGCTAAACGATCCTCTATTTTGTTTTGCAGCTCCAAACTGCCCACCGAACTCCCACTACAGCATATGTGCCAATTTGTGCCCTGAGACCTGTAGCCAACTCAGCAGTCCCAGCTGTTCACAAAAATGTATTGAGGGATGTGACTGTGACCCTGGGTATGTTCTCAGCGACAATAAGTGTGTTCCCCACTCTGACTGCGGATGCTCCGATAGTGAAGGCAATTATCACCTGGTAAGTAATCGCTCTTTATTCCCAATATCTCGTCAATCTCTACAGACCCAGCTTTGGTGACTACCCCACCACCAACTCCACCCCCCCACCGCCACCCTCCCCCCGCCCCCCAGGTTGAACAGCCTGCTTCACTTCACTGCCCAAGACTTGCGCACAAGTCCAGTTGCAATTATACATTGCGGGTGGGCAGTGCACAAGTCAAAGGCCTGACACATGCGACTGCTTTTCAATTCATTTGTGGGACGTGGGCGTCACTGGCTGGTCAGCACTTATTGCCCTGTCCCTAGTTGCCCCTTGCGAAGCTGGTGGTGAGCTGCTTTCTTGAACCGCTGCAGTCCCCCCACAATGCTATTAGGAAGGGAGTTCCAGGGTTTTGACCCTAAAGGAACGGCGATATATATCCAAGTCAGGACAGTGAGTGACTCGGAGGGGAACATACAGGGGGTGATGTTCCCATGTATCTGCTGCCCTTGTCCTTCTGGTTGGAAGTGGTCCTGGGTTTGGAAGGTGCTGTCTGAGGGTCTTTGGTGACAATTGAAAAAATGTGATCTTGTAATGCAGTGGAAGCATCCCTACCACTAGACCAGGAGATTTGGGTTTGAATCCCACACACCCTGGAGTTAATATGTTGATTAAAACTAATTACACGTTTGTGTAAGCAAAGGAATCCCTTTTGCAAAACAACAGGACAAAGTCACACGAACAACTGGCTTTTAGGGCCAATACAAAGATCACTTCCACTGAAGGAAAACGTACAAAATTCAACTAAAATGTTATTCCTAGGGCTATACAAGAGCAGGAGTAGACCTTTCGCATTCTTGTGCCATGTAGTGAGATCTATGGCCACACTCTACATATCCCCAATACTTCTGCTTCACAAAAATTTGTCTATCTGTGATGTAAAACTAACAACAGCCACTGTGTCGAATGTGCTCTTAGAGAGGTTGCAGGGGGGCACGATGGGCTGAATGGCCTCACCCTGCACTTTAGCGACAATGCGGCTAATATCAGAACCTCTGTCCACTCACAGATCAATGAGTCTTGGTACTTACCTGGCTGCGGCAACAAATGTACCTGTGTCAATCCGAAGAAAATTACCTGTCAGCATGCAGGCTGCTCGCGGTTGGAGGTGTGTGACCTGCTGGATGGCATTTACGGCTGCCACCCGAAGGGTAAGACTTTTCACCTTCGTTTAGGGGACAACAGCCTCACCCGAAGGGGCCGAGACCCATTGCCAAGTCACGGCCACATCGGTGTGGAGGATGGCAAAGGCCGAGGTTGGGTAACGATGAGGGATTTCTGGGATTTCCTCGACAGGAACATCTGTCGAGCTGTTGGAATTTTGAGTGTAAACCAATAAGCTTTACACTTCCAGCTTCTTTTCTTTAAGAAGCTGAAATGAAGTTCTCAATTTGCCAGAGGTGGGGGTTTACTCCAGTTCTTAGGAACACCAAGCCAACAGTCACCGCACCATTATTTTTGTTTGTCCGAGGGATGTAGCTGCCACACTGAGTGTCTTGCTCAGCTATTTCGGAGCCATGTTGCTGTGGGCCTGGAGTCACGTGTAAGCCAGACCAGGTAAGGACGGCAGATTTCACTTCCCCAAATGGGCGAGAGTGAGCCCGATGGCTGTTGACATTGTTGCCGTGGCCATCATCATCGAGACTCCAGATTGAAATGTGGCTCCAAATTAATTCTTAATAATTGATTTTAAACTCCGCCCGCTATCGGGTCGAGATTTGAGCCTGCATTCCCAGAGTATTGACCCGGATTTATCAGTCCAGTGATGTTAGAACGGTCAGTAATTGGAAAACATCGCTCCTTGGACCAATTTCCGATGAGAGCAGAAAAGCAGCCATGCCTTGGCTTCTGATTCCAGCTGACAAGCCATGGGCATGAAGGTTTGTGGTCAACCCTCCATTTTCTACCTCAGATTTCAGGCCTGGGGCCTCCTGGTATTTAGCCAATGAACCCTTGCTGGCGCTGGCAGTTCCAGTTCCTTGGTGGGTGTTTTTCAAGAGACTTTACCAGTGTGCTCCACTGTGTCATTGCTCATGGTGACCTTGTATGACAGGAAGTGGGCATGGCATTCACAGGAAGTCAGATTGCCAATCTTACAGACTTCACCCTGGAGGCTCCGGGATGAGTGTTTCAACTCTCCCAGTCTGCCGAGTCTACTTTTTTTTCACTATTTCAACTGTGTGACAAGACTTAAAGTACCTTGTACCTAGGTACCTTGTACCTAAGATGGCGCTACAGGTGACATTACAAACTTTTCACTGCACTCATTCGAGTGAACATGACAATAAAGGCTATTCTATACTATTTCATCCCCCTCCCAATTCCCTCTGGGCAGTTGTCATCTGGCATTAAGCGTGGCTCACTGCATTTTCCATCTGCAACAGAACATGGCATGGTGGCTCAGTGGTTAGCACTGCTGCCTCACAGCGCCAGGGACCCAGGTTTGAACCCACCCTCGGGCGACTGTCTGTGTGGAGTTTGCACATTCTCCCTGTGTCTGTGTGTTTGCTCTGGTTTCCTCCCACAGTCCAAAGATATGCAGGTTAGGGTTGATTGGCCATGCTAAATTGCCCCATAGTATCCAGGGATGTACAGGTTAGGGTGGGTAAGACATGAGAAATTAGGGGAATGGGTCTGGGTGGGATACTCTTCAGAGGGGCGGTGTGAACTGGTTGGGCCAAATAGCCTGTTTCCACACTGTAGGGATTCTATGACTGTATCATCTATGAACACTGACCCCACGCCCCACCAACCCGGTCTCTGCTGATTTCTTACAGGCCATGAAACGTGCACGGCCTCAGGAGACCCCCATTACAAGACCTTTGACAAGCACTCGTACGACTTCATGGGTAACTGCACTTACACCTTCTCCAAGCTCTGCAACGCCACGTCTGGCCTGCCCGACTTCAACGTGGAGACCAGCAACGAGCACCGGGGCAGGAACACACGGGTCTCCTACGTCAAGGCTGTTCACGTTGACGTCTATGGCCACCATGTGACCCTAATGAAGAACCGAAAAGTCATCGTGAGTATCTCAGGGGTCCTTGCTGCCTGCTCAAAGTCACTCTGCTCATCTCCCTGCCATTGGTTACAATCCAATAGGATCCAATCTCACACATGTGGGATTACTTCCAGAGTGTCACATCATCAGACAGTCCAAGGCACTTTACAACACTCTTTTTGAGAGGGGCTCAATTTGCACACAGTAAGCTCGCACCCATAGTAATGAACAGATAGATCGTTTTTGAAATGATATCGATTGAAGGATAAATATTGTCTGGCCACACTGGGGGACAATTGGACACGGTGGCTCAGTGGTTAGCACCGCTGCCTCACAGCGCCAGGGACCCAGGTTCAATTCCAGCCTTGGGCGACTGTCTGTGTGGGTTTCCTCTGGGTGCTCCGGTTTCCTCCCACAGTCCAAAGATGTGCAGGTTAGAGCGGGTGAGCCATGGGAAATGCAGGGGTAGGGGAAGGTCTGGGTGGGATGCTCTTTGGAGGGTCGGTGCAGACTCTACAGGCCAAATGGCCTGCTTCCACACTGGTAGGGATTCTATGATTCTACCTCTTCTGGTCTTAGAATCACCAAACAGTTATAGCACTGAAGGAACGAAAACAGAAGTTGCTGGAACAGGTCAGGCAGCATCTGTGAAGAAAAAATCAATTAATGTTTCGGGTCCGGTGACCCTTCCTTAGAACCCCATAGCACTGAAAGAGACCATTTGGCCCATGGCATGCATTCTCAGTAGAGCAACTCACCTAGTCCATTTGGGTTTCAGAAATACTTTTCTTGTCAGATGATGACCCTCTGCCACACTCTGGAACTATCCACTCGCTGGAACCAAAGGCTTTTCCACATGTTGCCACTGTTTTTATTTGCCTTAAACTTGTGTGGCTCCGGTTTCCAACCTCTCTGCCAATAGGAACAGTTTCTCCCTCCCTACTCCAGGCCTGGGAGTGAGGAGGCAGGCCCTCTGATCCCCTTCCTGATGGCGTCTCCTCCTCCTCTTTTGCAGCTGGATGAGCGCAAGGTCATCATGCCCATCTTCATCGACGACAACCTGCTGATTCGCATCAGTGGTCGCTACGTCTCCCTGGAGACGGATTTCGGCCTGAAGGTGCGCTACGACGGGAACCATCACGTTGATGTCACTGTCCCGACTTCCTACGTGGGGCAGCTCTGCGGCCTCTGTGGTAAGGCACAAAAAAAAAAGACATGGGTGGGGGCTGTTCCACCCGCTCTGCCATCAGATGAGGATAGATTGGGTCTTGCATTCCCTCAAGAGAAGACGGCTAAGGTGGTCAAAGGATTAAAATGAGACGCGTCGAGAGAAATGATCTCTGGTTGGAGGAATGAGTCCAGAATGACATTGGGTATCAGGGTCAGGCTGTTCAGCTGGGGCGGGCGTCACTTGCTCACACGATGGGGTGGGCGAATCAGGAACTCCCTCCCCTGTAAACGTTGTACAGGCCGGGAGAAAATGTCAAAGCCAACACGGCTGGAGTTACAGGTGACGTGGATGTGGAATGAAGGCGCTTGATCGTTAAGATACAGGTTAGCCACGATCTAACAGATTGGCGGTGAGAGGGGCTGAGTGGCCTAAAGACCAGAATGTATCACCTAGAGTCACACAGCATGGAAACAGACTCTTCGGTCCAACCAGTCCATGCTGACCATAATCCCCCAACTAGTCTGGTCCCACCTGCATCTGGAGTACTGTGATCAGCACTGGGTACTTACAGGAGGTTGGAAGCAATTCAGAGAATGTTTATTGGACTAATGCTTGGAATGAGTGATTGCCTTAGGAGGAAAGGCTAGACAGGGTCTGTATCCTTCTGGAAGACAAAGAGAAGATTAAATTGAAACAGAAAAAACAAGGAAAGGCAGATGTTGTTTCCTCTTTTGGGAGAATCTTGAAGTTGGGGTGACGGTTGAAAAATGAGGGGTGTGCTTGGTTAGAACACAGATCAATCAGAGACCACCAGGGGCACCATTGCTTTCACTTTTCAATGGGGTTGGATACAGAGATGAATAACTGATGCCAACACAGTTCAAACAGATCATGGTCAATGTGCAGCCATCAGTGTTAGCATATGATTGAGGAGCGTCCCCTCTTACAGACTACATGTAAACTCAGCAAGTGAGGAGCTCTGGGGCATCGCTAAATAAATAAAGGGTCAATTTTGCACCTGCAGAATAAATAAAGTGTAGGCCGCGATACGGATGACATAATACCTCTCTGTCATTTTCTTTCTTCCCCTGAAAGGTGGTAACTTCCACGTTCTGACCACAAATGTGAGGTGCTGCATTTTGGAAAGGCAAATCAGGGCTGGACTTATACACTTAATGGTAAGGTCCTGGGGAGTGTAGCCTAACAGAGAGACCTTGAGGTACAGGTTCATAGTTCATTGAAAGCGGAGTCGCAGGTAGACAGGGTGGTGAAGAAGGTGTTTGGTACACTTGCCTTTATTGGTCAGTGCATTGAGTATAGGAGTTGGGAGGGTCATGTTGTGGCTGTACAGGACATTGGTTAGGGCCACTTTTGGAATACTGCGTTCAGTTCTGCTCTCCCTGCTATAGGAAGGATGTTGTGGAACTTGAAAGCGTTCAGAAAAGGTAAGGTTTCCCTCTGTCAAACATCAGACAGCCAAAGCCCAAGACAGAACCAACCAATTGAAATGGGGCTCCTCCTTAACTAGGTCTCTTATCTCTTGTAGGCCTTGATCTGAACACCTCCCTGATGGCGGGTTGGGGAGGGATGGGGAAGGCAGCCAGTGCTTTCGGGAAACCGAGGTCAGGAATTGGGGGAGTGTTCCCTCATCTCCACTCAGTTACCCCAGCAACACAGGCTCCACCCAGTGGAAGGTATGCTGGAGGTGTCCTATCCAATGGGTCCACTGGTCTCTGGCTCCTACTAGGGCACCAAGGTGTAGAAGGTTGGCCTATTTACACCAATCCCAGCGGCCGATGCTTGGCCGTTCCTTCTTCGGATACGCCTCGCCGCCTGTAGGCCCAGTGACTAACGTTAGGCCCTGCTGCACTGTCCCTAATGCAGGAAACTACAACGGAGACCATTCCGATGACAAACGTATGCCCAACGGTGACAAAGCCGACAGCCCTGAGGAGTTCGGGACCAGTTGGCTGGTACCAGGCACAGACACTCAGTAAGTGCACTTTTTAATTTACTTATTGGATAACAGCCTCGCTGTCGCTGCATTTTTTTTTCCTTTGCTGATGCATCTCAATTTCCAGTTAGTACATCTAATTTTTAAACATGGCTTACACCTCCCCCCACCAGATCTGACAGTTAGTCCATGACCTAACATATGAATTTAGTTAATGCCTTCTCTTTCTAATCAGTACGTTTGACAATACAAACTCAGCAACCTGTTAAGAAATATAACATTAGCTGACTTCCCGCGTCCCACATTGAAGCCCCAATGCATCCACATCACACACAATGAATCTCACAGCTCACAAGGAGGCCGTTTGACCCATCCTGCCTATACCGGCTCTTTGAGAGACCTCTCCAATTATCCCCTCCTTGTGTTCTCTCCCCACATCCCTGCAGTTTCTTTTTCAAGTATTCCCTGCAAAGAGTTACTCATGAGGCAATGCTATTCCAATGCTCTTTTCGTTCTGCATTGTAAAATCCTGTCAAGCTTTTAGTATAAAAGAAAGTCTCCTCAGGGAGCTATGGTTGAGGACTGGGAGGACAAGAATCTTTGCAATTATTTCCCCCAGAGGACTGCAGATGCTCCATCGTTGAACATTTTTAAGACTGGGATCGACAGAGTTTTGGTTTCTCAGGGCGTTGAGAAAATGTGGGGAGCAGGGAGGAGAGTGGAGATGGACCCCAACATCAGCCATGTGCATACTGAATGGTACAGCATGCTTGATGGGCCGAATGGTCTCCTCTAGCTCCTATTTGCAAGACCAACATGGTCTGCACTGTTTCCTATTTCTTGTGTTCTTGAATTCTTTTTCATTCTTTGGCCAATTATGTGGACCTCCGGCAGTGCTGCACTCAGCCAGCACTGCACTGGAGTGTGAGCCTTGAGAGTTGTGCTTAGGGCCCTGAACTGAGAGCCTTGTGGAACAGTTGTGAGGGTGCTACCAACTGAGCCACAGTGTTTAAGAAGAGCTTCAAAAAATGGGAGCAGGATGAGGCCATTCAGCCCCTCAAATCTGCTCTATAATTCAAAACAATAATGGCTGATCCCTATCTCAATTATGCCAACCTGCCCTACCCCCATATTCCTTACTCCCTTCGAGCTTAAAAAAAGTCCGTCAATCATTGACCTGATATTTTTAAAAAATCATTTATGGGCCCAGCATTTATTGCCCCTCCCTAATTGCCCCTGGAGAAGGTGGGGGTGAGCCGGCTCCTTGAACCACTGCAGTCCATGTGGTGTAGGGGCACCTGCACAGTGCCATTAGGGAGGGAATTCCAGGATTTTGACCCAGCGACGCGGAAGGAACGGCAATATATTTCCAAGTCAGGACAGTGAGTGACTTGGAGGGGAACTGGGTGTTGGTGTTCCCATGTATCTGCTGCCCTTGTCCTTCTAGATGGAAGGGGCCGTGGGTTTCGAAGATGGTGCTGAAGGAGTCTTGGAGAGTTGCTGCAGTGTGTCACGTAGATGGTAGTCACTGCTGACGCTGTGTTGAAGGCAGCAAATGTTGAAAGCGATGCAGTCATGTGGGCTGCTATGTCCTGGATGCTGTCAAGCTTCTCATGTGTTGTTGGAGCTGCCCTCATCCAGAGATTATTCCTGACCTGTGCCTTGTAGATGGTGGACAGGCTTTGGGGAGACAGGAGGTGAGTTACTTATCACCGAATTCCGAGCCTCCGACCTGCTCCAGTGTACCATCCCAAACCGGAGTCATCACCCTGAGGAGAAGACAGATAGGTTGAGGAGACTGACAACGGTGCTTTCCGGGAATCAACGAATGAGCATAGTTTACCGAACTGTATGCCTTCCATGCACTGAATGGTGCTGTCTTCATGTGCCAAACAACATCCATCTTATAAAACAAAAGATGCATATATTGCAACGTTCGCTGCTTAAGGACACTTCACCCGGTGCAGGACCTTTGGAACGTAGGTGTTATAATGCAGGTCACAGCCAGCAAATTTGCACAAATCAGGATCCCAGATGACCGGATGTGTTTTCTTTGTGTTGATTGGGCGAGATAAATGTTGGACCCAAAGCTCTTGGTACAATCTCCTCTGCTTCAAAATAGCACCACAGGAGCTCTGCTGAAGGTTCATCTGAAAGGTGGCACTTCTAATGGTGTAGCTATCCTCATCGCAAAACAACAGCAGCGTTGACAGAATCCTGGAGTTGGGCCCATGACCTTCTGGATCAGAGGTCAGAGGGCACTGAGCCACCACTGACACCTCAGGACACCTGAATGATGTGCACTGTTCCCTTGCAGATGGAATCCCTCCCACCTCTCCCCCAAATCTTTGATGATCTGTGGTATTGAACTGTTCTGTTTCCCATCGAAGCCCTGTGTGCTTCATCGGTTAGGCCTGGGTGTGGGCTCAAAGGCAAGTAAATAAAACTGGAGACTAAAACTTGAACGTGGAGCGGACGTTTGAAAGCACTTTGAACGATGCCCCTGCACAGACGTGATGGTCTCTGCATAACTCTTGAGATGTCACAGAATCATAACGGTGTGGAAGGAGGCCATTTGGCCCATCGATCCTGTTACCATTTTATTACCCAATCTCCTGCTTTTTCCCCCTTATCCCTCCACACTGTCACTATCCCAATAACTATCCGGTGCCCCTCTTTAATGCCTCAAAAGAAGACCCTTTTCTGAAGAAGGGTCCAGATCCGAAACATCAGCTTTCCTGCTCCTCTGATGCTGCCTGGCCTGCTGTCTTCCTCCAGCTCTACACGTTGTTATCTCCTCAGATCATCCTTGCTTCATCCGCCCATCGCTTTAAATCTATGCCCTCTCACCTTTTTTCTTTCTATGAGCAGGAACACGTTGTCCCTATCTGTTCAGCTTGCTCAAACCTTTATATTACCTTCCTCTCGCCAAGGAGTACAAGTTCCAACTTCTTCAATCCGTCTCTCTTTCCTGGAACTATTGTTGTAAATTGCTTCTGTTCTCACTCTCCAGTCTGTACACATATTTAAATCTTTGAGCTGTTGTATTCACAGGTGCACTCACGAAGATAATCCCTCAGACTGCGACGAGGATGAATTTGAGAAACCCGAGAGTTGTGGATTTATCAATGACCCGAACGGTAAGTGTCCCCGAGCAGCCATCACTAACAGAAGGGGAGATAATCATTGGGAACAAAACCATTTAAACCACAATCGCATTCATAAAGAGTTGCACAGACCTAGGATGAGCTGTTTTGATCCTACAGCAGCACTGAATTCAGTCAAACACAGAGCCTTGGGGTTATGCACAAAGGAATTCTATGGCTGATGGACGAGACAATACAATTCAATACAAGAACAGGCCCTTTGGCCCATTAAGTCTGTGCCCATTCTGATCCTGCTTTAGACCCGCTACTTATTGCCTATGCATGGTTTCTATCCCTCCGTTCGCCTCCCATTCATTTTTCTATTAAGATACATCTTAAACATTGCTAATGTACCTGCTTCCACCACCTCCACTAGCAGTGCGTTCCAGGCACGCACCCACCCTCTGTGTGAAAAATTATCCCCGCACTTCTCCCCCGAACCTTACCCCCTCTAACTGTGAAACTGTGCCCTCTTGTAGTTGACCTTTCCACTCTGGGAAAAAGCCTATGGCTATCTGCCCTATCCATGCCTCTCATAATTTTGTAGACTTCAGCCCCTGAGCCTCTGTCTTTCCAGCGAAAACAATCCGAGTTTATCCAACCTCTCCTCACAACTAAAACCCTCCAGACCCAGGCAACATCCTGGGAATCCTTCTCTGCACCCTCTCAAAGCATCCACGTCCTTCTGGTAGAGTGGTGATCAGAAATGCATGCAACATTCCAGATGTGGCCTAAGTAAAGTTCTGTACAGCTGTAACATAACTTGCCAACTGTTATATTTGATGCCCCGGCCGATGAAGACAAGCCTGCTATATTCCTTCTTGACCAGCTCCCTCACCTGGGTCACCACTTTCAGGGACCTGTGGACCTGTATGCCCAGATCCCCTCTGTATGTCAGTGCTTCCAAGGGTTCTACCATTTATTGCACCTGAATCCAAAAAACATCACCTTGGTTTTGTCGGAATTGAACTCCATCTGCCATTTTTCTGCCCAAACCTGCAGTCTATCTACGACCTACTGTATCCTTTGACAATCCTCCTCACTATCTGTAACTCTGCCAGTTTTGGTGCCATCCGCAAACTTACTAATCAGGGCACCTACATTTTCCTCCAGATCGTTTATATATATTACAAACAACAAAGGTCCCAGCACTGATCCCTGCAGAACGCCACTAATTACTGATCTCCTCTCCGAAAAACACCCTTCCACTGCTAACACAGTGTGGAGCTGGAGGAACACAGCAGGCCAGGCAACATGAGAGGAGCAGGAAAGCTGACGTTTTGGGTCAGGAAAATTTCTGAAGAAGGATCCCGACCCGAAACGTCAGCTTTCTTGCTCCTCTGATGCTGCCTGGCCTGCTGTGTTCCTCCAGCTCCACACTGTGTTGTCTCTGACTCCAGCATTGGCAGTTCTTACTAAACCCTTCCACCGCTGCTCGTCGATGGCCAAGCCAGTTTGTATCCATCGGGCAAGCTCGCCCTGGTTCCCATGAGACTCTAAGATCCATGTAGAGTACCAACGAGAGACGTACACAAATGATTGCCCAAGACGCACACAATCCCAAAGACAGATCCCCTCAAGGCTCCGCGGTAGGGTGTGCGTGAGTGAAACCAGCCACGGTACCCTGTCCTCCTGGTGCCAGACCCCATCCTACCACCTCTATCCCCGCCCCAAACCAACAGCTGCCGATTGCTGTCTCAAGACCATCATGTCAGAGACACGGTCAGGCTCACCACAGCCACGGGCACTCACTGCTCCCTGAGTGCCAGTGTTCCCTCTGGGCTACCCGGGGGTTGGGGGGGAGGTGAAAGAGAGATAAGGGAGAGCATTGGCAAGTGCCTGAGGTTGGTGAGCCTTCGTGACAGGGGAGTGGCGGTGCACAGTCCACAGGCATCAATTTCGACTCACACCGTGATCAGTCTGGTTAAAGTCTGGCAATGTACCATACCCTTGAGCCCTGGTACACCAGCTGTGTCAAACTAATTGCCTAATGATTATAAATATGACAAAAATAGAGATCTGTGGATGGTTTTACTACCTGACTTCATACCCATTGCAAAAATACAAAGCCTCATTGAAGAAAATAAAATCTTCCCAACTTATTCACTGTTGCAATTGATGCCCACAATCCAACATGTGTCAGTTAGACCTCTGGTCAAATGTCTATCTGGGTTCAGTTGTGGGCCCCTTACCTCATGAAGAAGGGACTAACGTTGGAGGTCTGTGGTTTCGGACAGGCCGTTGTCCCTTCTTTCACTTCTAGGACCTCTGAGAGCTCTGGGGGTCATCACCTTCCGAATGGGTTCTGGATGGTCTAGTGCAGGTCCTGGGGAGAAGACATTCACACCGGCTCTATCCCAGGTAACTCTGAGATCAGGAACTCTCCCTCCCTCCTCCCTACACCTTCATCAGTCCCAAAATTCTCCAGGTCCTCTGTGTTCCTCCCAAACATTACCTGGTACTGTAGCTCTGGAATTCTCTCCCTAAACCTCTCTCCCTCTCTCTTCCTTTCCTCTAACCTGACCTTTTTTTCTGTCGGGCCTAGATGTGTCCTCCAGAGTATTTTCTTTCATACAGCAGGCCCTCCCCGGAGCAATTTTGTTTGAGGTCAGGTCAGTGCAGAAGGAGGCCATTCGGTCCCCCAAGTCCACTTTGACTCCCCGTTAAAAAGTGCTACGTGAATGCGTGCTGTTGTCGAGGCTAACCCAGCGAATCAGGAGACTGTTTCCATTCTCTCCACTGAAGGTCCATTCCGAGAGTGCAACAAGCGCATTCCTCCAGAGAGCTACTTCAATGACTGTGTATACGACATGTCCTGTGGGACCGGTGAGATGGCATCACTCTGTTTCGCCCTGGGATCCTACGCAGCCCTTTGCGCCAAAGCTGGAATCCCGGTCACCTGGAGAAACCAGACCTTCTGCCGTAAGTAGCTAGTCTAACCCAGTCAGCACCCCACAACGTGACCTTACGGTGGACCCACTCGGAAATGCAGGAGAGATTCTCCGATGCAGCGTTCAAAGCAACAAAGCATTTTCTCCAAGTTCTGAGGAGCAGAGATTTGATTTATTATTGTCACACGTACCTAGGTACGGTGAAAAGTTTGGCTTTGCATGCGGTACAGGCAGACCACACCATACAAAGTGCTTCAGGGTGATAGAACAGAGCGAGGAACACAAGGTTACAGCTGCAGAGAAAGAGTGAGATCAGCATTAAATCTGAAATGTGAGAGGTCCATTCAGAAGTCCAATAACAGCAGAGAAGTACCTGTCCCTAAATCAGAAACAAAAACAGAAGTTGCTGGAAAGGCTCAGCAGGTCTGGCATGTCTGTGAAGGAGAAAACAGACTTAACGTTTCGGGCCTAGTTACCCTTCCTCAGGCCCTTCCTCTGTCCTTGAATCTGTTGGTCTCTGTGTATCTTCCACCTGACAGAGGAGGTTGGAAGAGATTATAACCGGGGTGGGAGAGGGTCTTTGATTATTCAGTGTAGAGGTATAAATTGAGCTTGGAGCACTTCTCCACACATTCCGAAGGCAGCCAGTCAGATAGATTAAGCTTGTTAAGAAAGCATTCCAAATATTTTGGTGTTTAACAGCCAAAACTAAGGGGAAACTGGAGCTGTATAAAACATTAGATTTAGATGTAATAAAAGATGTATAATACATATTACTGCCATTTGAGATTTGGATTTTTAAAATAGAGGCAGATGCATGGTTTCAGTTCTGTGAAGGGAACTTATTTAATGAGTTTAGAAAGTCATTTGGAACAGTGAGCTAATGATATCATTTCCAAGAAGGTATGAGATTCAGTCAAGTCCCGAAGAGGACACCTGTGGTGTTAATGGATGGAGATAAATGTAAAGGACACACAGAGGAAAACAGATCAGAGGCCACTAGGTTTAATTTTGACTTCAGCTCAGCTGGGAAAACAGTTTGCTATTAGCAGGAGAGCCATGTTGTCAGTTCAGGGGACACCAGTCACGCGAGCAGAAGTTGTTTTAGTATGTGAAGCTTCCAAGCTGGGAATTTGTGTAGACGTCTTTAAGTTGTTGAGACTGAAAGGAGGTTTTAGGCCTTCAGGCTTGGAAGAAAGATTCTTGCCAGGACTCTTGAAAAGTCAAAAAAAAACTATCTCAGCATTCCAGGAAGAAAACTGGGAAGATTTTTTTAAATGAGAATTCAGATAGGAGTGAGATTTCTCTGGGATTGAGTATCTGTAAAGGATAGTGTTGGAAAAAAGTTGAAACTTATTTTCCTGTTGATGTTAGAAATATATATATATATCGCACACACATATATACATAGCTTTGTTTTGATTTTCTTTTATTGTGTCATAAACTTATGTTCTTTCATTAAAGAATGTTTGCAATTTTGTGTACATGTTCAGTGATAAAAATTCGAGGGAAGCAGTTCTTCTTCATACAGTGGGGAGTGGATTTTTGTAAGTCTCTCCCCAAGTATGTTATTGAGGCTAGTGAATGGCTGACAATCTAAATTTCAATTGAAAATCTTCAAACTGAAATGTTTTTTGTTAGGCAAGAGGATTAAGAGAATTGAAACTAAGCAAATGAAGTTAAAATACAGATCACAGTTGTGATCTCATTGAATGGAGGGACAGGCTTGAGGGGCTGAGTGGCCTCTTCCAGTTTATTTGTGAGTGTGAGTGTCTATATGTCTGCCTGTCTGTGTGTGGTGTCTATGTATGTGGCTGTGTGTGTGTCTATGTATGTGTGTCTGTGTGTCCATGTGTGTGTGTGTCTGTATGTCTGTCCATGTGTCTGTGTATGTGTGTGTGTCTGTCTGTCTATGCCTGTCCTTGTGTCTGTGTGTGTGTCTGTCTGTGTCTGTATGTCTGTCCATGTGTCTACACGTGTGTGTGTTTATGTGAGTGTGTACATGTGTGTGTCTGTCTGTATGGCTATGTGTGTTTCCGTGTATGTATATGTTTGTGTGTGTGTCTGTGTGTGTCTGTGTGTGTGTGCGCGTGTGTCTGTGTGTGTGTGTCTGTCTGTGTGTGTGTGTCTGTGTGTGTGTGCATGTGTCTGTGTGTGTGTGTGCGTGTGTCTGTGTGTGTCTGTGCGTGTGTGTGTATCTGTATGAGTGTGCTTGTGTGTGTATCTGTGTGAGAGTGTGTGTGTGTGAATGTGTGTGTGTGTGTATCTGTGTGAGAGTGTGTGTGTGTATCTGTGTGAGTGTGTGCGTCTGTGTGTGTCTGTGTGTGTGTCTGTGTGTGTGCGTGTGTGTCTGTGTGTGTGTCTGTGTGTGCGTGTGTCTGTGTGTGTGTCTGTGTGTGTGCGTGTGTATCTGTGTGTGTGCGCGTGTCTGTGTCTGTATGTGTGTGCACATGTGTCTGTGTGTGTGTGTGTGCGTGTGTCTGTGTGTGTGCGCATATGTCTGTGTTTGTGTGCGCATGTGTCTGTGTTTGTGTGCGCATGTGTCTGTGTGTGTGCGTGTGTCTGTGTGCGCATGTGAATGTATGTGTGCGCATGTGTCTGTGTGTGTGTTTCCTGTTGCCCGGTACTTATTGTCTTTCTCCTCGCCAGCTCTGAGCTGCTCGGCTGGCAGTCACTATGAGCCCTGTGCCAGTGCCTGCCCTGCGTCCTGTACCGACCTGTCAGCTCCCACTGACTGCAGCGCGCCGTGTGTGGAGGACTGTGTCTGTGATGAGGGCCACGTCCTGAGCGGGGACCAGTGCGTCCCCTTCAGTCAGTGCGGCTGTCTGGACCCTGAGCGGAACTACCGGCTGGTAAGTAAATCTGCAGTCACCCACCAAACACCCGGATTATCTGGCCCGGGTTACTAGGGTGCAGTGTGTGGGGGAGGTTGTGTCGAGGTGACAGAATGTGCAGCGATGGAATAAAAATGGTTAGGAGTTACGCTTTTGCACATCCCTGGGCACTACGGGACAATTTAGCACGGCCAATCCATCCTAACCCGCATATCCCTGGGCACTATGGGACAATTTAACACGGCCAATCCACCCTAACCTGCACATCCCTGGGCACTATGGGACAATTTAGCACGGCCAATCCACCCTCACCTGCACATCCCTGGACACTATGGGACAATTTAGCACGGCCAACCCACCCTAACCTGCACATCCCTGGGCACTATGGGACAATTTAGCACGGCCAATCCACCC